AAGTTGGTTTTTTAAATAATAGGGAGGCTGAGGCAGGTGGATTGCAAGTTCAAAGCCAGTCTCAGCAACTTAGTGAACTAGGTCCTAAGTAACTCAGCGAGACCTGTCTCTAAATAAAATATAAAAAAGGGCTTGGGACGTGGCTCAGTGGTTAAACACCCCCGGGTTCAATTCCAAGTACCAAAAAAAAGTACTAAAATCATATTTCTTTCATTCGTAATATTATATTGGACTGATGTTAGACTAAGTAGACACAAGATAGAACCGGACACTGCTCAGTCCTCAGCTTTGGTTTTATCTCTCCTACCTTAAACAATACTTACCACTTTCTGCCTTATAAATGAGCACAGTGCTCATTTCCCAGAGAAATATTAAGACACAAGATTAATAAAATTAGCTTGTGTATATATGTCAGTAATCAAAGAGAAATGTATTAAAGCAAATGGTTACTAACATTAACATGATTGCTGTGTACAAAAAATTTTGATGAGGTCTGAACTGATCCGAGTACTATGGGTTAATAATAGTGCCATTGTGTTTCACAGTTCACCTTAATTAAATATGACTTTTGTTTATTTATTAATGCAGTAAAAATCTAAGATGGAAAAATTAGCCCTATACATGTTATTTTCTGAATAGAGTTAGTCTTTCTGAAGCAAAAACTTTTTCGTTAATTTTGAGGTTCTGACATATCTTTGCAAAATTCCTTTTGGTTTAGCTTTCTTTAACCTTTCTCCTGGGGGCTATTATGAAAATAGATACCAGCTGTGGTGAAAATCCTTAAGATGACTGAATAAAGAAAACTACATTGGCATGGATTAAGATGGCTTTACAAAAGCACACAGAAAGACACCATTTCCTTGGGAATAACTGAATGTAAATGGGAACCTATTTATCTACTTAATACAATCACATGCTTAGAAGCAGCATTGCTGTTCTACAGCTTTTCGTATTCTTCCTACATTCACTGTGGCTGGAAGAGAGGCACAGCAGTGGGAGAACATTCTCAATAAATAATTATAGTGGTGCATGCTGCAGTTCCGAGCTTGACAGCAGCATTTCCATATTTGAATTCTCATTACCACGGCTATGCCACTCAACCTCATCAACTCATTGTAAGATGAGCTTTGGCATGCAGTTTGCCTTGGACCCAGAGCAAAGAGAACACCCTCCTCCTTTATTAAAATGGTTCCATCTGACTTGGTGCTCTTGTTTTGTGGGGCTGGAATCCTAGTCTTGGATGAAAAGATCTCAGACAGTGAGCTTAGGCTCCATGGTTGTTGAAAACTCTCCTTTGGGATGTTGAAACTCACGTTTTGGTCAGAACTCACATTTCTTCCTTTCAAAATTCTGCTTTCTGTGATTCTAAAGCCTGTATGACTGTAGAACTGTCTTTCCGACCCTTAAGCAAAAAGTGGTAGTGTGGATAGAGACCTCAGGGATAAGGTAGTCTGATATTTCACAGTGCAGTAATGAGGTCAGCATTTTACTATGGTCATTAAAATATATATATATATATATATATATATATATATATATATATATATATATATATAATTATAATATAAACCTAGACACTATTGTAAAAAACAAACTTTGTTGTCTCAGGTGGATTATTTGAAAATAGCATAACAACTGTGAAAACGATTGTGGCACCAATGTACATAGGATTTGAGTTTCTAAAGATAATTAGCATGCAAATCCAGTTGATCCTTAAGGTGGTTGCACCCTCATGATTGACAGAAATGGCCAAGAAAGCAGTAGGTCACATCAGCCCTGTCTAATTAGCTTACACATACAATAGTCCTCTAATGTGATCAGTGGTACACGCACATGGGCCAAAAGGCAGCCACTATATAATTGAATAGTTTCAGGTGTATTGCCACAGTTTGTTCAGCATCCTTAATTTACTTGGCTTCAATTTTAAGAACATCTTTTCAGATATAATTGAGCAAAACAATCTGCCTTGGAACTTTTGAATTTTACTGTCCTGAGACTGTAGCTCAGACAAATTAGGTACAGGAGCTGCACAGTTAACGCTACTGCCGTTGGGCAGCTATCTTAGGTATACAAATGAAGCCATGTTCTTTGTTAATGGAGCAACAATGAGAGAAAATACCTTCCTGGACAATTTTATGAAATGAGAGCATTTCCCAATAGAACAGGATTAGTAAGAAGTGGAATATCTTCAAATGCAAATTTCTTGACATTCCCAGCCACTAAAATAATTATCCAACTTGGATGAACTAATAATAACTTTGTTAAAGGTTTCATTTGGTATAGCCAAATGTAATGCAAAAGGCACACACTAAGATAAACACCATTTCCATTTTTAGGACTTGCCAACAGTGGGTTTTCTCTTTTCTCTTTCTCCCACACATTGAATGTCACAAGAAATGAAATGAAATTATTTATATGAAAAAGAAACGTAAGAGCACAAAGCAGTGCCACATATATCACATGGAACTGGCATCCTTGTTATTTGTCCAAAATACAGGAGACTTGGTGTTGATGAAGTGAAATAGTGTTTTGAAAATTTGAAGTATCTTTTTTGATGCTGAAACAATTTTATTTAATGAATGTTTTGAAATCAAATCCATTCCACCTATGGAAAAACTACATTCAGAATCTCCAAAGAAAACTGGCAAGTTTTTAAATCTCTTTTGTTTTTTGTGTCTAGCACAGTATTGGGTACATGGTAAGCATTCTTGAATCAAACTGGGAAAAATCACTGAAGGATGTTAGAAAACTTTTAGAAGCAATTTATCAATATGAATAAATGCCACAAAACTGTTTATATTGTTTTGATCTAATAATTTTATTTTAGTGAACTTATGTTAAGTTTTGATTACTGATATATATACCCAAAGCTATTTATTGTAATATTATTCATAAAAACAGAATAATTAGAAATAATTAGTTCTCTTTTGTTAAATATTTGGATAGAACAAATCTTGATATATCTATAGAAGGGAACAGTAGGCAGCCAATCAAATGATGTTTGTCAAAGCTAGAAAGCAATGTAGAAATTCATATAATCTAATAACACTGTAAAAACCTGATATAAAATTGTGTGTGTGATAGAGCAACAATCATATAGAAAAGAAGCATACCTAGAAAAGAAACTGAGGAAACACTGAGGTCCCTGTGTAGATTATGTTTGGATGGAAATACTATGGGTGATTTAGAAAATATCTCTTTGATTTTTCAAATCTGTAATTTTTAAAAAAGAAACAATTGAGTTTATCTAAATACTCAATTATTATGCTTAGCACCTAGTTGTATTGAATTGAACCCTCATTTTTCTCCCCCAAACTATTTCCTATGTAAATATAATCATGATGTTTAATTAGTCACAAATAAGAAACCAGTCTGCCTGAAGTACATAAACTCTGATTAAAGTAGACCTCACTAATTGAAATTAACAGATATTCACGATCTTAGATGCTTGTGTAATAAAAAGTCCAAAACTAATAACATGTTAGCACTTTTTATTATGCAATTAGAGCACATTTTTGATAGAAGTTGGCATAAAACAAATTGTAATTTTTTGATGAGTTTTTAAAATTTAAATTGTTATATGTGAAATTATGCTATTTGTAATTATGTATAATGGCCAATATATATGAAAATAGAAAAAAAAATTAGTTAATATAATTAAACAAACATATAAAAAACTGCAAATCTTATTTGCCTGGTCAAGTTCATCAAACAGACAAATTGGTTTGCTTCATTAGTTTAATCTTAGGATACTGAAATATAGTCATTTGTTTTTAATCAAAATGTTTTCATAAATATTATAGAGGGGCTAGGGTTATAGTTCAGTGGTAGAGAGCCTGCCGAGCACATGTGAGGCACTAGGTTCAATACTCAGCACCACTTATAAATAAATAAATAAATGAAGTTATTGTGTCCATCTAAAATTAAAAATGTATTAAAACAACAACAACAACAAAAACCCATTATATATAATTGATAATTGAAAAGAAAGGTAAATAAACTTTTGCTTCATCCCCTATCATTTATATGTAACAGAACATGAAGGAAATTTAATATGATCTTTTCCAGAAAAAATTTTCTCCCTCCAATGCAGATTAAGAGAAATTAAGTATAAAATAAGTATAAAATTAAGTATAAAATAACTGATAGAATCACAGTTATTTTTGAGTTAATTTGCAATACATATTTAAAAAATTTTTTTCCATAGACATTTCAAAACCACTACTGTAATCAAAATGTTCATTGAGTGTTTTAATGTTATCCTTAAAAAAGAACCTAACATTGATTTCAAGCAGCTTAAAAAGATTATGTTGTAATGATAAGGGTTATTTTTTAAAAAATCAAGACTTTGACATGTTTTTTAAAAAATAAAACACATTATTTTTCTTATAAGCCTGTTTTGTGCCTTGGTTTCATTTCAAATTCAGTTAAAGCTTCACTACAAGAACCTATATTGTCTAGTTCTCTTCATATAACCTCAAAAACAACCAAGTTTCTAGGATTGCCATTATGAACACTGAAGATGAAACACACTTGGCTATTTTCTAAGGGGAAACAATTCATGATTTAATTGAGAGAAGTTAGGAAATGCATTTTGGTCTGATCATAAATGTCTTATAATTAATTTCAATTTTAGGTTTTGTATGTTGAGTTTAGGTGGATAAATGGGATTGATTTCACGGACCTATTAATGTTATTGATATTAATGATATGAATTTGCATTTTTTTATAATGGCAAAAAGGATGCATTAATCTCTCCTATTTTGTTAACACAAATCACATTTAAGATTGTGTAATAAACATTAAATCATCATTATCTATCCTTTCTAATAATCAATCAATCAACTAACCAACTAGTTAATCAATTATTATTCAGAACCTGCCTTCTATTCACCCTCTAAAATTTAGTAGTAACTTTGTTGTTTCTGAATATTCGCTTCTATAAATAGATTTTATAGATAAACAATTTTAAAAAGAAAAAAAATGTTTAAATAACTTACCTTTGTTTCCTTGAACTTGGAGAAAAATCCAAACAACAAAAATAGCCCTTTTAGTTTCCAAATACATTCTGGCTTTTGTGTATTGGTAATTCTGAAAATTACAGAACACCCCCAAATTTCATTAAAAGAAATAAAATGACAGAAGGATGAAAAAAAATAATTAAATGTTGGTGCCAGCTGAGTGAAAATAACCTTTTTGATTTATCTCTATGAGGGTGCTAATTTATGAAGAACATGCAGCAGTGTTTCTGGAATAATCCGATGATCTTCCACTCAGGTGTAATCTCTGCTTATGAGCCAGCTGGAGGAACCTTTATCTCATTAACCTTCTGGAGGAGCATCTGTCAGCCCAGCTCTAGCATTTTAAACAAGTGTCCACAGGCAGACTTTTTTTTTTTCCTAGTCACAGTGACACAGAGAGCTAGGAAAGTCCCTCCAAATATAGAAGAAGGCTAGCAGTTGGGGTCAGATGTTTTCCAAAATGACATGTCCAAGAATCATTCATAGAAGGAGCTTAATTGCTATCCCTGGAAGTATATGTTTATTCAATGTGTTATTATCTACAGATAGCAGAGCTGCTACCATCCTATGTTCTGCTTTGTAAATCACTTTCTATCTGGTATTACATACAGATGGTTTTTTTTGGTTAAATTCTGGTTTCATTTTTAAAATCTGTTCATGCACAGAGTTCAAGGAGTCCAATGTTTTTTAAATCATGAAAAATATGCCTGCCTTCTCTTCATTTCTCCATTCAAAGGAATTATTTTTAACTCTTTAAGCTAATTCTTCTAATCTTCTGATTTGTACTTCTAAACAGTACACTACTATTACTATTTTGGGGATATTCACTTTTAGGTATTATTAGATAAGGGAATTGAGAATATTTTCCTTATACACACCCTTTTTACTCAGCATAAGGACTCAATTGTCACATCATCCTTTCATCTTTCTCCCTCACTAACACTGTATTTTCACTTTATTGAATATTCAGTTTTGCATTATCGTGACTGCATGCATGTTAGATATACCTGAACCATAAAGCATACTGCAATTACTAGTATGTATTGAGCTCTTGTGTTGTGGACAGACACTGTTTTTAGAGATTTCTATAGATTATCCATATATGTATCAATACAACATACAAGGTAAATGCTACTATTATCTCTGTTTTACATTTGAGGAAAATTAGGTGTATGTGACAGAGTCAGGGGTTGAACTCAAAAGAGTTTGGTTTAAGAGCCTACACTTAAAATTTTTTTAGTTGACATATAGTAATTGAATATTTTCTGGGGTACAGTGTTGGTATTTCAACACAAGTGTATGATATATAATGATCAGATCAGAATAGCTGGCATATTAATCACCTCAAAAATTATAAATTCTTTATGAGGGAACATTCAAAATCCTCTCTACTAGTTATTTTGAAATACACAATTAATTATTATCAACCATGGTCAACCTACCGTGTTATAAGATATTAGAAGTTATTCCTCCTGTCCATTTGCACTTCTGACTCTATTAACCATCCTTTCCCAGCACCTTTTCCTATCCCTGCCTCTTCTCAGCCTCTGGTAGCCACTATTCTACTCTGTATTTCTAAAAGATCTATTTTTGTAAGCTTCTACATACAAGTGATAACATGTAGTAATTGTCTTTCTGTGCCTGATTTGTTTCACTTAATGTAATGTCTTCCAGGCCATCCATATTGCTGTAAATGACAAGATTTCATCCTTTTATGAAGAATTTATACTATTTTTTAAAAATGTATTCTTTATTTTAATTAGGTATATATGTCAGCAGAATACATTTTGATTCAGTGTACACAATCACAGCACAACATTTTTCATTTCTCTGTACACGATGTAGCATTGCACCATATGTGCAGTCATATATGAACCTAGGGTAATAATGTCCATCTCATTCCACCATCTTTCCTGCCCCCATGCCTCCTCCCCTGAATTTATACTCTTAATCTGCCCCTGATGCCTTTTGCAATTTTCCCATATTAAATTTTTTTTCTTCATTTTCTAAATGAAAAACATTAAATTATTCCCACATATTATCTTACATGTGTAAATTTTTTCTTCATGTAGTTAAACACTGCAGATTGCCTTTCCTGGGGCTTTTTAACCCCCTCCTTTATGTATTGTTTAATTTCTTGTCATGGTTCTCAGCAGTCATCTGAGGAACTGCACTTCACAATGATCCTGGGGCTTTTCCCACCTCTCTCTCGTGTTATTGAATCCTGCATGTTCTGTACTCTGTGTTGTCTGTCTTCTTTCTTAATCTCTTCTTTTAGCAGAGCACATGCTCTGGTGGATTACTGAAAATTCATGGTAGATAAATTTGAACTTTCTTGTTTGAAAATGGTTTCCATCTACCCTTATACTTGATTGATAGTTTCACTAGATAGAGAATTCTACGTTGGAAAGAGCATTCACTTTGAACACTGAAGATATTTATTATAGAAATTCCAGAATTTTCTTACTATTGTTTCCTTTCTCATTGTTTGTTGTGGCTTCACACTTAAAAAAAAATTCCTTTAATATTGTTTTCTTGGGGTATCCATAAGTAGCAGAGGGTAATGGATGTTTGGCTCTCATCTTTAAATTCAGATTATTTGGTAATGTTTAAAGAAAATTATTATCAAATTGGACTAGAATCATACTTACAACAGTGGGTCTGAAAATGAGCAATGCATTACATGGAAGATAAATCTGTATTTAGATAACCATATCTAGGAAAATGATAATAAGAGTGCAATAAAACAGATGCATGCTTATATGTAAACATTTCTAATATGTATTTGAACAGGCTGGAAAGGCGGCAGGAGCTAGTGAAATGCTTCTCTTTTGGTTTGCTGTATAACCTTGTGTTATGCTTATGTTTCTAAGTCCGTTGTGAAATGTCAAGGTTTTATCTCTAGAAAAGAAGGCAACAATTTCAATTTATGAAAACAATTTCCACTTCATAGTCATCTTAGTGAAACATGTTACTTCAAGAAAACTGTGGTGTAGACTAACTTGTCCTTAAAAAATATCCTATATGGTAGATATGGATATAAGGATATTTAATTTATTTTAAAGTGACAAGTATTTAAAAGTTCTTGACAGCAGCATCATATGCATTTTCCCCATTGTTGATTAAAAACTTGGGTAAATAAAATGTAGATAATTGCTACTTAGGAAGCAAACAAGATTGATAAACACTCATTCTTCTTTTTTTTTTTTTTTTTTTTTTTTTTTTTAAGAGAGTGCAGCCCGGTGCGATCCTCATTATTCTTTAGATAATGCTTTCTGGGAACATCAGGTGTTTCTCTAAGTACTATTGTTTAATTATGGGTCACGGTGGTTAATCCAGAAATGCTTCTTCAAGCTGGTTGACTGTCAACAGTAGTTACATGTTCTTAATAAAGGAAGACTTTTCCTTTAATTTTGGCAGAATTTCAGTGATGCATTTAAAATGTACAAGGTAAGGTAAAAGGTTAGTATGTCTTTGTAGACACATTCCTTCATTTGAGATTAGAAGACATATAAATGAGATATGATTACCAAAATGTATAAGATAATATCATAAAGAAACAATTTCATTTTTTAGTTAAAATAGGTACAGTTTTTTGTTCCCCTTGAATACCCAAATCTCAATTATGTACTTTATATGCATAGCATCTTACCAGCACACTGGTGAGTTAGGTCCTAATTTTATTTGCACTTCACAGAAAAGGAAACTGAGGTTCATAGATGGTAAATGTATTAGCCAGCTTTGTAACTTGTAGAACTGAAGCAAGGTTTCCAACTAAGGCATTTTTAATTCCAAAGCCTGTGTTGTCTCTGCATTCCCTTTATAAGGCAAACAGGTGCCAAGAGAGTAACAAATAGTCACAGGACAAATTTGCAATGCTAAAGGAGAGGAGCTGTTGAAAACATGGGTCACGTTCCAAGTTCACTGTTTTGCTTTTCCCCTTCATACTGCATCTATTAATTTGGCAATAGGTGAGGTAACTAGGTAAGAAGCTAGAAAATTTCCACCTCTGGAACTGCATTGCTTTTTCTTTGGCAGAAGGACAACTATTCTTAGATTTTTAGCTTTTTATTTGCTCATATTGTTGATTTGTCTCTCCATTTCAGGCAGGTAAAGGGGATTCTTTAAGTATTTTCATCACCATCGATATGTGTGACTAATCAGGAATAGCTGAACCACTTCTAAAAGGAGCCAGTCTTAGGAGAGGCAGGTAGGCAGGGCCTTGAGTATTCTGTGATCTGGAAAGAATAGGATCTGTCACTTCTGAAAACAAAGCAAAACAGTGTCCTCAACTGTAGGTCCTGGTGTTTTGAATAAGTACTCTTCTTGTTAATACAAGATTTATTTGGTGTAGCTTAGAGAAATTTCCCTGTATTTTTACTCATATCTTGGGAAGCAGAGATACAATATACAGAAAGAAACACAAGGGCAATACCAATTGGAATGCCATCTAAGGTAGCCTTTCATCATCTGAATTTATGCTCCAGTTCCATCTTACTTTGGCTGTCAGCTAAAGACTACAGCATCCAACAAGAAAGGGATGCTTTTGGCATAAAGAGGAGAGGAGCAAAAGATACAGTCTGGCAAAACTGACTGCACTAGGACATGAATTCAGGGAGGTAATTATAGGGTCACAGGATGACAGTTTTAATGAGGATGAGAATGATAACCACCCAGGAGGAAGACCCTATGTCCTCAACTACCCTCATTATTTTCTAAGAACTTTTTGCTGAATCCTTGTATGGGACGTCTTGAATAACCCCAGTTTTCTTGTGGAGTGTCAGCCTTCCTCCCAGACTCTTAATGTAGGGCTCTTGCCTCCTTTCTCCTCTTAAAGATAAGAATACAGTGAATGCAGAATAAATTGACTTAGTTTCTCAGTAAAAATAATTAAAAGGTAAACACTAGAAAAGTAGATAAACAGTTAACTTTTTTATCTTAAAGGTGTCAAATGGCATATATTTTGGAATACAGCTTTTTCAAAAATAATTAGCCACATCTGCTAAGAGAATCAACCAGATATATTTGGTGTTGGTAAGTTACATACACTGCCTTTTGTGTGTGTGTTCAGAGGCCATAATAAATATTGTACATTCTAAAAGCACAGGGACTTTCTTCAGTGACTTGAATTTTATTGACATTAAAATTCAGTTTAGGGGCTGGGGATGTATAGTTTAGTGCTAGAGTGCTTGCCTTGCATGCAAGAGGCCCTGGGTTCAATTCCCAGTATCAAAACCCAACCAACTAAGCAAACAAAAACCAAAA